ACACCCTGGTGGTCAGGATTTCAACACAGGAATTTTGGAAGGACCCAAATATTCAGACCAGAACACCATCTGAAATTGCCTGCTGAAGTATCTGGTATTAACTGTTTTCCAGACTGACTCAGTCCAACACATCCAACCCATCTGAGGAGAGACGAGAGAGAATGGAGAAAAGGCCACAGGTAATGGCTGAGAGTTTTCCCAAATAGGTGGAAGGCGTGAACACTCAGAGTCAGGAAGCTCAAGTGGGGGAGATAAAAAGAAATCCCCAGTTAGACACACACCACTGTAAAACCATGGAACACCAAAGACAAAAGCTCTTAAAACCAACCAACTGGAAATGATATATTACGTGTAGAGGAAATCAATTAGAACGACTGCTGAGATTTCCTTTTGTTTAGATTTATTTATTTGAGATAGACAGACAGCTAGGGGAGGGGCAAAGGGAAAGGGACACAAGCAGACTCCCTGCTGAGAGGGGAGCCCCACACAGGGTTCGATCCCAAGACCCTGAGATCATGACCCGAGCAGAAATCAAGAGTCAGACACTCAGCTGACAGCCTTCCAGGTGCCCCTTGATGGCTGATACTTCAGTAGAAAGCGGAAGTATGATATATTCAAAATATATATAGACACATTCAAATGAAAGAAAATAATTGTTAATCTAAAAATAAACAAAGATATCCACAAAAGTATCTTGCAAGATAAATTCATTTTTCACCAAAAAAATTTGTGTTCAACAATAACGACCCCTGAGAAAGAGCACGTGTATAGGATACCTTTCAAGAATAATAATGATCCACAAGAAAGGTCTGAATTGCCAAAAACAGCAAAGAAACTGTTACGCATGTGTATAAATCTAAACCAGCACTGCCTGCAAGACACAATAATACATAATAATGAATGATAATAATAATGAATTGAAGAATAATGAATAAAATGAATAATAATGACAAATAATGAAAAGTGCCAATAAGATTTCAATGTTCCTAAATTCCTTATATGGTTAAAGAGGCACTTCGAAATAATAACTTCAGACTTTTAAGATAGATATACATGCTAAATACCTACATTAAACATGAGAACCTCAAAATACCATTCTATAAAGAAAGTAGCAGGTGGCTTTACTCAAAGCCAAGCAATATTGTAATACCTCGGTTCTTACTTTTAAAAAATACTCATCATATATATTTGCAGAACATTATTGAAGGATCCTTCCCTTAACGCACTCACTTCCACCAAGCGGTTTCAACTTCCCCACATAAAGTTTAAGTTAGATTCAAAAGGAACTCCTGCCTCTGACCGAAGAAACATACTGGAAGGTCAACAGGTCAGCTACCTAAGCTGTCCCTCTCCACAGGGCAGCCAGAACGATCTCCAAACAGAAAATCAGATCACATTATTTTCTTGCTCACAAGCCTTCAACATCCATATCCCTACTGCCTTCCCCAGACCCTGAACATCTGGCTCTTTCTGATACCCCTAAACTCACCCCAAGTTTTTCTTCACCACTCCCTGTGTCTTCTGCCTTCTGACAGGTCTTAGGACACCATAAAGTATTGTCTGCCACGGGAGGTCCTGTTGTCTTGGCCTAGCTGCTTCCCCAAACCCTCTGCATGGCTGGCCTGACCTTCTCTGGTACATATACCATGAAGTACACCCACAAATGAACTACCCCTGCTTTTATCTTATTGTCCGATTATCCTCTTGGCATGATTGTGAAAGTAATAAAGCCTCCCTGGTTAAAAGACGCCCACTAGGGACGCCTGGGTGGCTCAGTTGGTTAAGCAGCTGCCTTCAGTTCAGGTCATGATCCCAGCGTCCTGGGATCGAGTCCCGCATCGGGCTCCTTGCTTTGCAGGGAGCCTGCTTCTCCCTCTGCCTCTGCCTGCCATTCTGTCTGCCTGTGCTCGCTCTCTCTCCCCCTCTCTCTCTGATAAATAAATAAAATCTTTAAAAAAAAAAAAAAAAGACGCCCACTAAAAAGTGTGCTTGCCATATAAAACAACTTCGCAGAACAGGATGAATGACCACACAAATTTGGGGTATCTCCTCTTACAGAATTTTAAAACACACTCACAGAAATCTCTGGTCTAACTTAACTGTAGATCCGATGAACTAGACACATACCCCTTTCAGCTTTCCAATAACATAGGTAATAAAGTATAGCTTAAAACAGACCTTTGTCTAGTTATATATAATGGTCTGTTTTGAATAAGCCATAATCAATGTTGTGTTCCCTTCAATCTGCTTAAAGAGGCTCTGTCGAGAGAGAAAACAAAGACTACTGATGCACTTCCATACATGTATTCTTTCTACCACCCCTTTCCTTAGTTTGTAATTATGGGGATAAAAGTACCCGCTTAAAATAAATGTTGAAACCAAAAGAAAGGCTATCATTTCCTAGCAAATTTCCCCATAGTTAAAAAGTGGCATTAGTAGGATGCCTGACTGGGTCAGTTGGTTAAGTGTCTGCCTTTGGCTCAGGTCATGATCCCAGGGTTCAGGGATCAAGCCCCACGTTAGGAATCCTTGCTCAGCGGGGAGTCTGCTTCTCCCTTTGCCTGATGCTCCCCCACTTGTGCTCTCTCTCTGTCTCTCTGACAAATAAATAAAATCTAAAATAAAATAAAATGTGGCATTAGTAAAAACCTAAAACAACTTTAAGTCATCAGAACACTATCTTTAGTTTTCAAACAAACTTATAAGCTTCAATGTCCACAGCCATAAAATGCAATGAAAATGTGTGTCTGAACTATTTCAGAGTTGATTTAAGTATCAAATAAGGAAATGCTTTATAAATTGTAATACAGGACTACTGTACTCCTTTTTAAAGGAAGAAAGTTGGATTATGGTTTTGGCCACAGAATTACCCATTCAGATTAGTAAGGCATATTCTCTAAGTCCGAAATCACAACCTGAAATGTTTGAGATGTGAAATACATGAGTGAAGCAGGTGGGAGGAAGTACAGGCAGAGAGTGACCTTGTGAAACCTGGACGGTGTAGGCCCCCCCATCCAAAATGGGCCAACCACCTGCAGGCTTCAGCAGCTAGCAGCTGTAAGCTCTACCTTGCAACTGTTTTTCAGGAAAAGCTAGAACTCTGGAAACTTATATAAAAAGTACTAATTTTAAAAATATTGGTAAATGAAGGGTGCCTGAGTGGCTCAGTCAGTTAAGCGTTTGCCTTTGGTTCAGGTCATGATCCCATAATCCCAGGGGTGGAGTCCCCCACCCCACTGCATCCAGCTCCCTGCTCAGTGGGGAGCCTGCTTCTCCCTCTCTCTCTGTCCCTCCCCCAGCTTGTGCTTGCTCTCTCTCTCTCTCTCACTCACTCTCAAATAAATAAGCAAAATCTTTAAAAGAAAATTAAAATATTGGTAAATGGATTTAAAGTATTCAATTATTTTTAAGTGATGAGCTCACCCAAATCAATATATCTCAAGACCAAATTCAGCTTTTAAGCTATTGCCTTATGACTTCTACATGAGGTTTTCTGTTCTTTGCAAGAAATGGACAATGGACAAAAACCTAACCACATGGTGTAATCATCCTCAGAGCTCAAGAAAATGGAAACAGCAGCTAGCATTTTTCTGACTGACTGCAATATGCCAGGTGCCTACTATGCTTATAACTTTATAAGCATTATGTCATTTAAGACTTAATGAGAGGCACCTGGGTGGCTCAGTCATTAAGTGTCTGTCTTCAGCTCAGGTCATGATCCCAGGGTCCTGGGATCAAGCCCCACATTGGGCTCCCTGCTCCGTGGGAGGCCTGCTTCTCCTTTTGGGGCGCCTGGGTGGCTCAGTGGGTTAAAGCTTCTGCCTTCGGCTCCGATCATGATCCCAGAGTCCTGGGATCGAGCCCCGCATCGGGCTCTCTGCTCAGGAGGGAGCCTGCTCCCTTTCCCCTCTCTCTGTCTGCCTCTCTGCCTACTTGTGATCTCTGTCTGTCAAATAAATAAAATATTAAAAAAAAACAAAACTTAATGAGAAACACTCCAGAAAGGCATTACTGTAACCCGCAACCTGGGATTAGACAGACTTTTTAAGGTCAAAATGCTGGTGAATGGTGGAGTCAAGAAAAAGACCAGGTCAAAGCCCATGGTAGAAAGCTGCTGTTCAATGATGGATTATTTTAGTTCAGAAGAGTAATGCTCCCCAGCTAGAGGCTCCTGACTCCCTGTGTGTCCCCAAAATGGTAAAAGGTCTTCTGTGACTTATTTTGAAAGTCTATTGGAAATATATTTACTCTCTAATGGATAACTGAGTTTGTTTCCTATTACCAAGGAAAGGGGGTTTGCTTCTTAGATACAGTCTTTCAAATTATAGCTCCAGGGGAAAGATTAATGAAGGGATCTTTGTTTTTTAAAAAAAAAAAAAGGTGGAAATGAAAAGTTTAGAGCACCGACATTACAGAAATCATTAAAATGATAAAAACATTGTTACATCAAAACTTTATATAATCTACATTCATATACTATAAAGTAGATTTGTACTTCCAAATATTTGTTCACAAAACTATTAGTAGCAACTAGTGGACCTTCAAATATTTTGGATTTGGCAGAGAAAAGTTATTTTTCAAACACTTGCCCAAAAAATTCTGGCCGTAAATATACAGTTGAAAAAGGAAGGCAAGACAATGCTATCCCCTTTTGTGATGTGACCACAATCTCTACAAATTGATATACCAAGCTGGTATTAAAGACCATCAAGTTTAATCTTTCATTTTGGACTTTTTCCTCCCACCAACAATAATAAAAAAGGACTAAGACAAATGAGAGTAATTTTTCACACATGCTAGACCTCACATCAATATATTCATAAAAAACAAGTTATCGTTGAAATCTTACACATCTTTAAGTTCTCCCATTTGAAAACAATTATCTTTTATAAGGTAATAAAAACCGATATGGCATGAATAACATGGACCCTCATTTATTTGTCAAAACTTGGAACTTAGGCTCCAGCAAACCCAGAAAACTGGTCAACTTTATCACCTACCTTTAGAAAAGTCTCAAAGTAAAACACAATATTGCTCAGATACAAGACATCAAGTGTCCACGCTGCAGCTGCGGTCCTGGGCCTGTGACACACAACAGCGAAGTCATGGTGTTACAGGGATAAGCATCCAGGATCTGGGGAAAATAATTAGAAGATGAACTTACAAACATGTAAGCAGTATGGCAGGACTACAATTTTTTCCTCCATTTTAGCATTTTTACACAACTAACACGGAGCACAAAGCACATCTCCTATACCAGCATAAAACAAATCTAAAGTCACTGGATCAAGGCGAATTACAAAAATTAAAAAAAAAAAAATTAAGGCTTTAGGAGCAACTACAATCACCAAGAAAACTGCAGACACAATGAAACCCATGAGTATTCTTCGGATTTTCAAACATTTTTTTTTTTTTTTAATTTTAGTGCCCTTACAAACTATTTCAAGGCTTACGTCTAATCACCATCCTAGTACTAATGATCTCTTAAAATTTGTTTTAAATTTCTCTTAGGAAAATGTCAGCAGGGTGCAAAAAGTAGAAACTACTGGAAAACAGAACGGGACTGTTAGCAAGTTGAAAGGACATCGTTTCTGGGAGGATTCCCCTATTTCTCAACAAGGATCACAGTGCTCTGGTCTGCCCTTTCCCTCCCCTTAGAAAACTTTGCTGAGACGCTTGGAGTTGCAGGGACCCCAGCCCCACCGACCTGCTCCGAGAGAAATCATCCCCGAGCAAGAGCTCCCTGGGGCCGACCCGGCGCGACGTGGCGCCACAAGTTCCCGCCCGCCCCGGGCGCGGGGGCGAGGTGCGTCCTCCCCTCCGCTTCTCTCCGCACCGCCTTCACGCTCCCGGTCCAGGTCTCCCAGCCGGCGTGGGGACGCGCGCGGGCACCCTGGCCTCGCACTCTCGGAGCCCGGGGCGCGCCCTCCACGCCCCCGCAACCCCCGAGGCCCGAATGCGACTCCGCCTCCTGCGCCGCGCAGGCCCCGCCCCCTCCCCGGGCTCCTCGCCAGACTGGCGCGGCCCTGACCCCTACCTGGGCCGGAAGTGGGTGCCCGCTTACTCCCTTCCCGGAGTGCGGGAACGTGCTTCCTCCCCGCCGCGCCCCCGCCGCACCCCATGCGCGCCGAGAGGGATGGCAGCGCCACCTGCGCCTCGGAACCTCGCAGGGCAGTGGGCTGGCGGCGGGGGCTGCGAGGGCCTTCCCGGACTCGACCTGCGCCTCCCTCGCCTGGCGCCCGGGACGCGGGGGAAGGCGGGTGCAGCGCCCACCGTGGGGCGCCCCGGATCCCTGGAATTTCCCGGACGGGCCCATTGTCTCGGAACAAATTCACCTCGTTTTAATGCGCGGTGTCTCCCCCGTCCCCCCACCCCCACCCCGCCAAGAACTTCCCCTAATTTATGGGGTTCAAGCCAGCGGCAGGCTCCGGGCTGAAAATAAGCGTCGGTTTTTAGACCTGAGAAGGGAAAGTGACTAATGAAGTCGCCCCCAGATACCAATTCACTTTGGCCGTTTAAAGAGCCTGGGGTGAGGCTGAATGAAAGCTGGAAGCTCTTCTCCCGGAAGACTCCTGTCAATTACCAGTCCTCTAGCTAGTTCTGTGCCGGTCCTGTCCTCCCTGTCCTGACAGTTCTGAGCTCACCGAATGGATCCGTGCTGACCACATTGTGCACATAGTTAGGCCTTCCTCCCTTCAATAGGTGCGAACCACAGTCAAAATGTCCTTTGATTCTGTTAATCATGTAAATGGACCTGACATTGATGATGTTATCTAAGTGAGAATTCTAGAAGAGAACAGAGGTCATCCAGTCCTAATCAATGCATCTGCCTTAAGAAAAAACATGATCATTTGAACAGATGCCAAAAAGGCATTCAGCATATTCAAGATCCTTCCTTAGAAAAGATCTTTGAAATCTAGAAATTGAACAATGAGTTTTTGTCAGAATATCGTGTATCTTATCTGATATCTGAGGTTATCTCAGAATATTGAGAATATCATATCAATACCAACACATACACAGACTCAAAATTTTAAGTTACTTCTTTAAAAACCAGCCTATCAAATATATTATTTAACATAATAAAAAATAACCACTGCCCACATACAAAATAAAATAGACCAACAATGGGAAAATGGATCCCATTCACAATAGCAACAAAGAATATGAAATGACTAGGAATGATTAAAAAAAATGAGAAATGTAGATTTAAAAAGAAAAATGCAGAACTATCCAGAAAGTATTTATAAAATATTTTATTAACTAGGGAGACAGAGGATATCCTTAAAAGATAAGGTTTTAAATACATTAAATTAAAACACAAAAATATTCTAGAATTCATCCGAGAAACTACATAAACTAGAAAAGCTAAGTAAGGCCAGTGGTTCTCAGACTGCAGCCTTGGGATGTTTGATGTCATTCAAAGGTTTCACAAAATCAAAATTGCTTTCATGATAGTATTAAGTTTTTTTTCACTCCTTTTTGGTATCCATTCTTTCACAAGTATACAGTCGTGTTTTCCAGTGGCTACATCTTATGTGTTATCACAAGAGATTGAATGCAGAAGCAGATATATCTGCTCTCATGCCAAGCACGAAACAAATTTGCAAGAATATAAAGGAATGCAATTTCTTCCATTAAATTTCTTTTTTTTAATAATTTTTTTAATTTTTTATAAACATATAATGTATTATTAGCCCCAGGGGTACAGGTCTGTGAATTGCCAGATTTACACACTTCACAGCACTCACCATAGCACATACCCTCCCCAATGTCCATAACCCCACCACCCTCTCCCTGCCCCCCCAACCCTCAGTTTGTTTTGTGAAATTAAGAGTCTCTTATGGTTTGTCTGCCTCCCGATCCCATCTTGTTTCATTTATTCTTTTCCTACCCCCCAAACCCCCCACATTACATCTTCACTTCCTCATATCGGGGAGATCATATGATAGTTGTCTTTCTCCGATGGACTTATTTCGCTAAGCATGATACCCTCTAGTTCCATCCACGTCATCGCAAATGGCAAGATTTCATTTCTTTTGATGGCTGCATAAATTTCTTTTGTTTTAGAAATGGTAGTTATTTTTTATTAAAAAATGTTATCTATACTAACATGCAATGAATTTACTAGTGTTTTTAAATTAATTTTTAAATAAATATATTTTTTGATTTCTCAGTGTAATTTCTAATATAGTAAATATCAGTAGACATAACACATAAACAAAAGCTCATTGGTGTCCTCAAATAATTTTTAAGAGTATAAAAGAGGGTCCAAGACCAAAAAGTTTGAGAACTTTTTTTATAACAATGAAATAAAAACATATTAGTAAGCTATAATAATTAAGAGTATGGCGTAACACAAGAATAGAAAAGTATGCACAATCCAACCAGCCTAAGACCATCAAGGACAAAACCTGTGGTCTCACCGTCAAGTTTACGGACTCGTTGCAGCATAGAGACTGTCCACCACATAAGTTTTGATAAACTCAAAGCCCAGCGGGGCTGGGAATGAAGGAGCCAACATGAGGGTTGGACTGCAAAACAAACCCAGGGTTTGCTTCCTTGGATAAATGTGGAATGTCATATTCAGAAACATCTCACATGAAGCTCTGCTCCTGGGTTGTAAAATCAAGGTCATTTCTCTGTATCAAAGTGAGTTAGAACTTCCAAGCAAGAATGGGATGTTTCATTCTTACTGATATAATTTCTGAAATTAAAATCTCTGATCATCTAGGGTTTTAGAAAATACTATTTTCCAATGAGTAAGCAAGTAGCAGTTACTCAAAGAAGATGTCTGTTGTACTTTAGAACTGCAGTGTGCCTTGGAAGAAATATGGTTTCCTGTTCCTCTTGCAGCTAGCTGTCCCAGTCTGATAAATAGGTCCACTGGACTTTTCCTTTCTCAGTCTGTCCTTTTTGTTTTTCAAAAGAAACTACTGAAATAGTTCCTGATAGATTTGGGTTAAATTTACCAGTTATTTACCATAAATTTACCTTTATGTTCTGCTAATAGACATAAGAACTTAACATATGATCTGAAGCCATAAAAAGCAAAATTGGAGAAAAATTGTATTCAATAAATGACTGTAGGACTATTGGCTAGCTTTTAGGCAAATATGTAATTAGATCGGTGTGTCAAACCATGCACAAGAGAGCTACAATAAGGATTAAAAAGTTAGATTTAGAAAATCAAACTGGAAGTCTAGAAAAATTAAAATCAATATCTATCAAATTTCTGGATGGAAAAATATTTTATGATTAAAAGCAATCATAAAACAATTGACAAATTTAACTAAATAATGCCATATGCCCCTTGAAAACATCAACCAAAACAAACAAAAAACAACAGAAATAAAAAGAGAAATAGTGCTCTGGGAGAAATAAAGTCAGCAAATCAAATAGGGTTTATATCTTTACTATATTTTAAAAAGTGCAATGAAATTGTTAAGAAAAGCGCCAGGATTTTAACAGATAAAGAATGCTCTATAGAGATGACAAATGCTCTCTTGAGAGGGAGGGCAGGAGGCTGTGGCAGCACAAAGGATTAAGTTGCTAATTCTATGTGGATCTGGGTTGAGAGGTTGAATACAGGCCAGGAGAAAAGGGTAGCAGTCAGGGAAGGCTTCTCGGAGGAGGTGTTTGGTTTGAGCCATAAGGCTGAGTAGGAGAAAGAAGGTCACATCAGACAGACAGAAAAACAGACCTGGAGGAAAACAAAATACTCCAATACGGCTGGAGAGGCATGGGAGATAAAGCTGTAAAATGAGTGAGTTTGGCCAAAAGGCCCACATGCCCAAAGAGATGTGTTTGACCATGAAAGTTATTAAAGAATATTTGGGGGCTCCTAACGATTTTTGATGGCCAGATTTGAGAACTGAATGTGGGAAAAGGCAAAGGAGGTAAGAATCACTGAAATGTTGCTTTGCCTGTCATTACACAGAAAGGAACCCTATTCTGGTCAGCAGCCTTCCTCCTGTCCCCTGCAAGAGATCTATTTTTGTCGGAGGAATAACTTGATAAGCACACCTGGACACACACACTATCCTCCCTGCCCCCAACAAGGACCGTGCTTGATTTATAACAAATGGTTGCAGAACTGTCTTCCAGGAAAGTTGGATTCAGCCATCTGAGGGCTTTGTTCTGCTGAGTAGAACTGAAAAGTTTAGGAGAAGATTCTGGGCAAAGAAGGAGGTCCGGGAGCCATTTGATTACGTTTTCCTGAAGCTTGAGGGATGGAACCAGCTCTTCTGTCTCCCCATGAAACCTTCAGTAAAATCTGCAGGCGGGATTAGGTAGATGTGGGATGGAAGCAAGGCGAAGTATGAAGTCTGGCCTCAAGATATCCCAGACAGACGTAAACGATTCTAGTTGTGCGAACTAGTTACAGAACTGTGGCCCCAGAAAACAGCAGGAGATGGGATTTGGGATGGAAATGATAAATTCTAAATTTTACATATTGACTTTGAAGTGTAAAGGATCCTTAGGCGTAAGAGACAGCTTTTGAGAATGCCCAAAGTCTGTCTCTTTTCGAATAGATCCATATCTGTGTATCATTCCAAGAAGAACGGGGTTTGCTTTTCTTTTGTCTTCTGTGTCACTTTTTTCTGCTTTTAAGCTCGTTTTACTGAGTTAGTTCTCTGCGTTCTCACAGTATTTTTTTCTATTGTTATTTTTTTCCCTTTTATCCAGGAGATGCTCATCCTCCCCATCAGAGGTTGATGGGACTAAATCACACACATATT